TGATTCTCTTTTATCTAATTTAGAGTTTATTCAAAATAAAAAGACTATTCCTTTGTGTCTACTCTCAACCGTTGGATGGAGATTAGATCAAGATTGGATGGCTATGATTACTCTACAAAGAAGATATTGATAGAGTTGATAACTCAGGAAGATTCTTTTCAAGATAAGGATAAGATTCTTTTGAGTGAATATCTGTTTGTATTTGGAGTTTTATTTTCAATAGACTAGTGTGTCTTAAGTCATAAAGGTGTCTAGATACATTGCCTTAATAGATAAGACACAAGTTGTCAATTAGAGGTTAAGTTGATTTCTAGTTCTTTAAAGTAGGAATAGAGTAAGAGATCAAACTCTTCTCCTATTTGGTAGGAGAATTTTTGGCCCCCTCTACTACAAATAGGGGTGCTTGGCCAGCATTTCATTTATACCTTTGATGAATTATTTCGATATGAGAAGAGAGGAAACTCTTTGTTCTTTTTCTATTCTTTTCGAAGATTAGTGCATTGCACACAAGCTTGTGCTTTGTTGATGCATGCGAGTAGAATAGGTGTTTTTCTACTTGTGGAGCTTTGTTAGTTGTTCATTGGAGCCTTTTTGCTAACCGTTCTATCCATAAATCGAAGGGATAGGGTTGTTAGAGAGGTGACCGATTGGGTTGCTAACCTTAAACACTTTCTACATCTTTTAAATCTTTCCATCCCTTTTTGGTGCAAATTTTTGTGGTTTGCATCTCTTCTTTCCTTTTATTTTTCGTGAGTTTGGAGTCCATAATATTGGATTTGCAAGTTTTCAAGTCCTGGAAATTTCATATCTTCTGCGTCGAGGTAAATCTACCACCTTTGCCTCAAGATTCATATCATTTTGGCTAAGATTAAGTGTAAACCCATATTCTTATGCGGTTGTCAACTAACAAAGTGGCAAGGACTTGGCTCGTATAGTTTAATTTGCAGGTAGTTAAAGTGATGTTGCCAATTAAATATACATGTAAGTAGAGAAAAAAATAGAGTTAAATTTATATAGTGAAATTTCATTAATCTTATTTACTGAACTAAACGTACAATGAAATAAATTGCTTTTTTGACATGACATCGGAGGTATTTTATATATATATATATATATATATATATAATAGTTCTCCCCGATTTGAAAAAGCTTTTGTGAACTGGAGGCTAATAAGTGCCCTAATTTTTTCTTTTGAGCGCTCTAAAAAAATCTAAAAATAGTAATGTATCCTTAGTATTTATTTATTTATTTATTTTTAAAGGGAGGGGCAATGCACATTTGTGGCAGCCGTAAAAAAACACGCCACCCTTTCATGGGTGGCGTGCGAAATTCTTGCCTCCCTTTAGTGGGAGGCGAGAGAAAATGGCGCCCAAAGTACTAGGGGGTGGCGCACAAAAGTAGCACCACCCCCGCCCCCCTTTTAAATTTATTTAATTAATTCATTTTTTAATTTATATTTTTAAATTTATTTATTTAATTAATTCTTTAATTTATTTATTTAAGTATATTTATTTATTTGTTTGGCGGTTAAATAAATAATTTTAATTTAAACAAATAATTTTTTAACTTAAATATTTGGAGGACTTGCCTCTAAATATTTAAATTAAAAAGTTATTTATTTATCATCGGTGCATCTAGCCGTCCTAAGAATTTTTTTTGGGAAAAAAGTTAAAATATAAAATATCAAAAATATCAAATATAAAATACGTTGAAATTTCATATTTTTTTTATTTCATATTTATTGTAAAATAAATATCTGAGAGGAATTGTAAAGAATATATGTGCCCGACCAAACAATAAATCTTATACTACAGGATTACTTGAATCAAAACTGGATCATAAAGATAGGAAGGTGATTGACCCTTCTGCCTCTTCACTTTGTCAAATGATTGTTCTCATTCTCCCAAGTGACAAATCTGTTCAACTCTTTTATTTTCCTTTTCTTGCACCTTAATCAGATTTTGTGAAGTTGACTGCCATCTCTGTGGAACGACCCTGCTTACCACTAGCTAATAGTTTTAAGTAGGTTTCATAAATATTCTATTGGGGTGAAATCAATGACAGTTCATTTCAACCACCACAGAGACTGCTTCAACACCCGTTTACTCAACGGGCTCGTCTTAATAGATCCACTTGTAATTTTGGTTTGTTTGATCTTTTCCCATGGAGTACAATTTCTCATATTCCGATGTTGATTTCATATCACATGCTTTTACATATACAGCTATGGGACCGCAATTCTAACTCTTATATGCATTGTGGGAGGAAGCCTTTTCGCTTTGAAGCTCATTGGGTTAAGATGGAAGATTGTGCTAGAGTAATTGAAGAGAATTGGGAACTGACATAAGTTCCTTGCCTGAGAAGTTGGAGAATGTCCATCTCGGATTGATTAATTCGAGCCGGCATCATCAGTCAGATTTTCAACGAAGAATTGAGTAACTTGAGAAAGAAATCCTTGTTCTGCAAAGGGGTATAATTGATGACCCTCAACGTAGCAAACTTGAAGATTTGGAGAAGGAGCTTGACTTGCTTTTTGAGAGGGAAATTTGAAGTGGAAACGACACGCCAAACAATGCTGGTATGGTGAAGGAGATGTAACACTAAGTTATTTCATGCTTTTGCAAATAAGCGAAAATTGGTGAATCATATTGTTGGGCTTAAAGATAACCATGGTGTTATGCGGACTGAAACTGTTGAATTGGAGAAAATAATAATGGATTATTTTGGTGCATTATTCGCTTCATCTAACCCTTTGGAGTCTAAAATCCAGCTTGTTGTTGGTAGATTAATCTCGAAGGTGACATCGGATATGAATGATCGATTGATGTGAACTTTTACGGCGGACGAGATTGTAAAAGCACTTAGGAAATGTCTCTTTTCAAATCTCCTGAGCCGGATGGTATGAGTCCGGTTTTCTTTTTCAAAAAATTCTAGCATATCATCGGTAATGATATTACTTCTTTTGTGTTACAATTTCTAAATTCTAGAATTTTTTATCCTAATATGAACTATACTCATATAGTCTTAATTCCTAAAGTGAAAAATCCAGAATTGATCACTCAATTCCGTTCTATTTCTTTATGAAATGTTGTTTATAAATTATGTTTTGAAAGTCCTTTCCAATCGTTTATGTCATAATGTGCCAACTCTCATTTCAAAATCTCAATCAGACTTCATTCCTAGTCGTCTCATCACATATAATATTTTGGTAGCCCAAACGCGTCACTATATATAAGCCAAAACCCGTGGGAAAAAAAGGATTGATGTGTCTATTAAATTAGATTTTTTTTTTGGAAAAGGTTCCTATATATTATTATTAAATAATAATATATCAATTAAATTAGATATGAGTAAAGCTTTTGACAGGGTCGAGTGGTGTTTTTTAAAGTCAATATTGCTTGCTCTAGGCTTTTGTGATTCCTTTGTGAACTTGATTTTTTAGTGCCTTTCTTCTGTCAGATTTTCTTTCATCCTGAATGGACAATAATTTGGCTCCTTTGATCCCAGAAAGAGGTATCCATCAGAGTGACCCTCTTTCCCCATATATGTTCATCATTTGTTCGGAGGTGTTTCTTGTCTTCTACAGGATCTTCAAAGATGTGGCTGAATTCATGGCATAAGAGTCACTCGTAGGGCTCCAAGGATTTCCATCTCTTTTTTGTTGATGATACCTTACTTTTTGGAGAGGTGGCTGAAAGCAACGCTCACTATCTTCAATGGGCTATTGAGCTGCATGATAGAATTTCTGGTCAGAGGATCAATTTGGATAACTGTGGCATTCTTTTAGTCCTCACATGGATAATCAGTCAAGGAGTTCCATTTGTAAGATTCTTGGTATTCTGCAAGTAGATAATCATGGTAAATATTTGTGATTACCATCCGTGATGATCAAATGTAAACAGGAAATCTTTGCAAGTATTAAAGATCAGGTGTGGCAAAGGATTTGGTGTTGGAGCTCCAAAACATTATTAAGGGCTGGTAAGAAAATTCTTATAAAATCGGTCATTCAGGCAATTCGTACATATGCTATGTCATGTTTTATGCTCACTGATACTGTGCTAGATGAAATTCAGTCTATGGCTAGTAGTTTTTTTCTGGGGGTGGTTCTATAGGCAATCCAAAATTCATTGGACTGCTTGGTCTTTATTGTCTAGTAAAAAAGAGGGAGGACTTGGTTTTCATAACCTTAAAGATTTTAATATGGCCATGTTAAGCAAGCAAGCCGGAGAATGCTCACAAATCCAAGTTCGTTACTTGCTTGTGTTCACAAATCCAAGTTCAGCTGATCTCGGACGATGTCCCTCCTGGACATGGCACAACATATTGGAAGGACGAAAGGTGCTAGTGTTAGTGTATGTATATATTAGAGTTAGTGTAGGTGTATTGTTGTAATCCTGCTGTAATCATGTACACTATATATATATATATATATATATATGTTAAATCAATACAGAATGACCTAAGGGTTTCACACATCTTCATGGTATCGTGCCTCTTTCTTGGGCCGTCATATTTTTTTTAGGGTTTTCTTTCCTTCTCTTTTCTCTGCCACTGCCGCATCTTCGATCTCCTTTGCTGCCAGGTTTTCTTTGGCGATCGTACTTCTTGCACGGCTACTGCTGCAAGTTCTTGCCACTGCTATTTGTGAAGTTTCCGGCGCCGTTGCTGTGTGTGTTTGGTTTCTTGGCTTCTGTCACTGATTGGCTTCTTCTTCTTTGCTAATCATTGCCGTTGTTGTTCGGCATTCTGCTACAATCTTTGGCATCCAGTGGTTGATTTCCTCCATTAATCACATCTTGCTGCTTCCGCCGATTCCGTCTGCTGACTTCTTGTTCTTCTTCGGCGTTGACATCCCATCTTTCTCCCTGTAGCCGTATTGTCGCTGCTGCACCTCGCTCATCTTCGGTTGTTGCTATTGTTTCAGTTTTAGTTGCTGTTGTTTCTGTTGCTGCTGCACCTCCCTCTGATCCGTTGCTATTGCACCTTCTTCTTCTTCTTCCATGGCAAACGGCGAAGGTGATGATGTGAATAATGATCCGAAGACTCCAACTTCGTCCCCCATCACTGCTGCTCTTTCTGATGTGTCCTTTCCTGCTCCACGCCATCCAGCCTTCTCACTCAACAACATCAAGAATCACGTGTACGAGATTCTTGATTTTTCCAACTACTTAATTTGGCGAGAACTTTTCATTCCGGTTCTTAAAGGGCATCAAGTTTTTGGCTTTGTTGATGGTACAACTCCTTGTCCTCCTCTTGGTGATCCTGACTATTCTCAATGGGTTCAGATTGATTCTCTCGTCCTCTCTTGGATTCAAGACACTCTCTCCCGTGAGATTCTGCGTAATATTATCACTCCGGGTACTTCTCTTACTGCTCAATCTGCTTGGCAAAATATTGAAAAGATTCTTCGTGATCATGTTGAGTCTAGAATTGTTCATCTTCATCAGGAATTTTATCATTGTGAAAAGGGTGATCTCTCTATGTCTGCTTTCTTAGATCGCCTGAAAGAATTGTATGATTGTTTGGTCTCTACTGGTGATTCTATAACCTATCGTGATGTTGTCATGCAAGTTGTTATGGGATTGGGTCCTGAGTATAATGCAGCCACTTCACAAATTTCCGCTCAAAAGCCACTGCCGACTTTTGATGAGTGTCGATCGTGGCTTCTGCTTGAGGAAGCCAAATTGGTGAAACAACATCAGAGAGCCACGTTGGGTTCGGCTTCTTCCCAAGTCCTTGTTGCGCAGGTGGTTTCTTCGCCGAATGTTGCATCTATTCCTTCTCATGCTGCCTATGCCGCAACTCCTTTCCAGTCTTCTTCGTCATCTGGAGGACGACGTGGAGGTGGTCATCGTGGAGGAGGCCATCGTGGAGGTGGTCGTGCAGGATGGCAGCAACCGGGCTTTCGTCCGAATCCTCCTGCTTCTTCGATTCTTGGTGCACCTCCCCCTTATGGGAGTCCCGCGCCTGCACTTCCTCAATTCCCGCATTCTGTCCAATGCTACAACTGCCGAGGTTATGGCCATGTTGCCCGGTTATGCCCTTCTGTTGTTATGAACGCAAGCCACTCTACTCCGGCGTTTACTGCATATCCGGCTTCCTCTCGATCTGTTACTCCATGGCACTTTGACTCCGCTGCAAGCGCAACTATGACGAATGACTCTAGTGAGCTTACAATTTATCACCGTATTATGGTCCTGATAAAGTGTGTGTTGGCAATGGTGCTTTGCTTCCTATTGAATCCCTTGGTACTTCCAATATATCCACTTCTAGTCGTTCTTTAGCTCTTAATAATGTTCTTTATGTTCCCTCTTACTGCGAATTTAATTTCTGTTCGCCGTTTCACTACTGATAATCATTGTTCTGTAGAATTTGACCCCTTTGGTTTTTCTGTTAAGTATCTCACAACGAAGACGCAACTTCTTCGGTACAATAGTTCTGGACCTCTCTATCCTTTCGCTGATTGCCCTACCTCCTCTTCGGTTCTTGCCTTAGCTGCACATCAGTCCACTTCCCAAATCTGGCATCGTCGATTAGGTCATCCTGGCCAGCGTGTTTTGGCCAACTTAATAAATGCTTCTCTTATTTCTTGTCCTAGTTCTACTTTAGATTTGTGTCATGCATGTCAATTAGGGAAACATGTACGTTTACCCTTTGAGTCGTCTTTGTCTCGGGCTACTGCGCCTTTTGATGATTATACACATTATTCTTGGGTGTTTCCTCTTCGCTCCAAATCTGATGTTTTCTCTTGTTTTCGTAACCTTTATGCTCATGTCCAAACTCAATATAATGCCATCATTCGTAATTTTCAATGTGATCATGGAGGTGAATATGAAAATAATTCCTTTTTGCAGTTCTTTCAAACTAATGGCATTCACCTTCACTTGTCTACAACTGCTTGTTCTCAGCAAAATGGTAAAGCTGAACGTCTCAATCGTACAATTGTCAATATGGTTCGAACTCTTTTATTTCAGGTTTCTATGCTTCCTCTTTTCTGGGTTGAAGCTCTTCATATTGTCACCTATCTTCTCAATCACCTTCCCACTTCCCTCTTACACAATAAACTCCTTATGAGGTTCTACACCACAAACTTCCATCATATGATCACTTGCACACTTTTGGGTGTGCATGCTACCCTAATCTATCTCACACCACCCATAATAAGTTAGCCCCCCATTCTACTTTGTGTGTTTTTCTGGGTTATCCTTCCCACCACAAAGGCTATCGTTGTCTTGATCTTAGTACTAATAAGGTCATCATTTCTCGTCATGTTGTTTTCGATGAGAACGTCTTCCCTTTCACTTCCCTTTCTTCGTCTAGTTCCTTCTCTAACTCTTCTTTTCGTTCGCCTTCGTCACACATTCTGCCTGCTCTTTCTCCACCTACTTTTTCCTCAATCTCTTCGCCTGTCCCACCTTTAGTAACTCCTTCCTCTCTTCCGACACCTCCCTCTTCAGTCGTTTCTCCTCGCTCGGAGCCTCCTCTGTATTTTCCAACTCCTTCCCCTCCCTTAGGTTCCTCTCATGTTCTTTCTCATCATCCTATGGTTACTCGGGCTAGGGATGTCACTCATAAACCCAAGGTAATTTTCAATTTAGCTAGTACTATTGCTGACTCTCCTTTGCAAGTTCCCACCACATATCGCGAGGCTTGTATGTTTGATGAATGGCAGCAAGCAATGAATGATGAGATTGCTGCCTTGTCTCGAAACAATACTTGGACTCTTGTTCCTAAACCTCCTGATGTTAATGTGGTTGGCTCGAAATGGGTGTTTCGGGTTAAAGAAAAGTCTGATGGCTCTTTGGAATGCTACAAAGCTCGTCTTGTTGCTCAGGGGTTTTCTCAGCGTCCTGGTATTGATGTTAGTGATACTTACAGTCTCGTGGTTCGCCCTGCCACCATTCGGACTGTCCTCTCTCTGGCTCTTTCGCGTAACTATCCTATTCATCAGCTTGATGTCAAAAATGCATTTCTACATGGCCTGTTGACTGAGCCTGTCTACATGAAACAACCACCAGGCTTTGTTCATCATCAGCATCCGGACTATGTGTGTTTTAGCTCAATCGTACTCTTTATGGTCTCAAGCAAGCACCTCGTTCCTGGTTTCACCGGTTTGCTTCCTATATTGCTTCGCACGGTTTCTGTTCTTCCAAGTCCGACTCATCTATGTTTATTTATCGCCGTGGTGCAGATTTGGCTATTCTTTTGTTATATGTTGATGATATTATTCTTACTGCCTCTTCTCCTCCCTTGTTAGCATTCATTATTGCTACTTTACGGAAGGAATTCGCTATGACTGACTTGGGTGATCTACACTACTTTCTTGGTATCTTTGCTACCCGTACTTCTGATGGTCTATTTTTGTCCCAATCCAAGTATATAGCCAATTTATTAGATCGCTGTCAGCTTTCTTCCACGAATTTGTCCCATACACCTATTGACAGTAAGAGTAAGCTGTCTCATACTGATGGTGATTTGTTTCTCGATCCTTATGAGTACCGCCGCATTGTTGGAGCTCTTCAGTATATCACTTTTACTCGTCCTGACATTGCTTATGCGGTGCAACAAGTTTGTCTTTTCATGCACGAGCCTCGTGAACCTCATTATAAGGGCGTCTAGCGTATTCTTCGCTACTTGAAGGGTACTCTTCACTATGGCCTCATTCTCCAGCCTACTTTGCTTGATCAGCTTGTGGCTTATTCTGATGCAGACTGGGCTGGTTGTCCTGATACTCGACGTTCCATGTCTAGCTACTGTGTCTTTCTGGGTGCTAATCTTGTTTCCTGGTCCTCTAAACGGCAACCTATTATTTCTCGTTCGAGTGCTGAGGATGAGTATCGGGCAGTTGCCAATGCAGTTGCTGAACTTTGCTAGTTGCATTCCTTACTCTCCGAGTTGTCTCTTTCTCTATCCACCGCCACGGTTGTTTTTTGTGATAAGGTTAGTGCTATTTTCATGTCCACTAACCCTGTTCAGAATCTCCGCACGAAGCATGTCGAGATTGACATTCATTTTGTCCGCGAGAAGGTGGCCCAGGGTGATATCCTTATTCTTCATGTACCCTCTTCTCGTCAGTTTGCTGATATCATGACGAAAGGCTTACCTCATGTTTTATTTGCAGATTTTCGTACCAATCTGAATGTTCGATTACCTCCCGTTCAGATTGCGGGGGGATGTTAGTGTATGAATATATTAGGGTTAATGTAGGGGTATTTTTGTAATTCTACTGTAATCATATACCCTATATATATGTTAAATCAATACAGAATGACCTAAGGGTTTCACACATCTTCAGCTAGAGCTGGGTTGTCGCAAGCAAATTTGCAGTGGAGATCAGACCTACATCTGGATGGATCAATGGCTCCCTGTGGAACCAACTTTTCGAACTACATCTAATCCATCACAACTCTTTGATTGTCCTTTTGCTATGAGTACGTTTAGGATTGCAGGATTATTTCAGCAGCTCCAACTATTCCAATGTCCAGACTTTGAGCGAGCAATCCTTCTTGATGATGGTTTCATAAAGGTGGAATTCTGTATTGCACATCTTTCTGGCTTATGGCAGGCACGAAATTCAAAGTTGTTTGAACAAAAGCATCTCACTCCTTGGTTTGTGGTTCTTCAAGTAAGCAGAATAATACGAGATTTTTCTTCATACTAGACTAATCAAGAAAGAATGGATCCCTCCCTTTATGTTCTTCCTACTTTCCAACCGCCACCGAATGGTTTTGTTCGTGATTTCTTTGATGTTGCTATTTCAACTTCCAGGAAGTGTGCAGAAGCTGGTGTTCTGATCCAACATGCTGATTGCAGCTTTATGCATGGTTTAGCTCGCCAATTCCTGGACATAGTCGATCCCAATGTTGCAGAAGCATTAGCTCTTCGTGAAGCCTTGTTTTTATCTCAAAAAATTGGCCTTTCTGATGCGGTTAATCTTGGTGACTCAGCCTTAATTGTGTTAGCAGCGAACCAAGAATCGGATGGTCCTTTACCATGTGTTCTAGTTGTAGAAGATGTGATCTACCTTTGTAAGGATTTGCCCGTCCATCACATCTCCTGGATTCCACGTTCTGAAAACATTATTGCACATTCCTTTCCCAAATTTTCATAATCATTTGATGTAATTGAAACTATTTGGAATTCACTTTCAAACTTTGTATCTCAAATGTTGCTGACCGTTTCCAGTAATCTTAATGTAAGCATATTTTCTTAAAAAAAAAAACTACTAAAGACACTTGATTCTTACATGATAAACGTAAGTTGTAACTTGTTATTCTCCAAAAACTCATTTCAAAAAGAGGTAGATTAATTATTAAATACATGATTGAGTGAAGTTCCGTTAAGCTATTTTTTCAAATTGTCAGTAAACATTGAGCCCCCAATAAGAAAAATAATCACTATCAATATCCCTTTTATTTATTTATTACTTAGTATATTTACTTAATATATATCTATATATATAACTAGGAAAATTCTATGGTCCAGTCCTAGATTTCTGACATAACCATTCAGTTAAAGACTAACCAATCAGAAATTGACAACTCATATATTATCATGAGGTGAGAAGTATTCTATGAACTCTTAAGTTAATTGGTAACCTACAAATCATATCAGGTACTAAGATATTTACTAAATTAATTGTATGCGCAACTATTAATAACCATAATATTCTTAAGAATGTTACGTAATTAAATAAAACATTAATTCTTCAATTCTCAAAATTTCCGAACTTATAAAAATGTTATTTCTTCTGTAATCTTTAAACGTTTGGTCTTAAGAATTTCATGGGCTGAGAACATCACAGAAACTGAAAGTAGTTCTCTAATGTTCAGAACATCACACAACCATAGCATCCAAAGCACTAAAAATCAACAAATTGAAATCCTAGATAAAACTAGAAAAACTACCCCGTGGAATAATGAATTGAAACTCATGTTCACTACTCCCTCTATTTCAGCCACTGTAATTTGTTCAACATGATGTGTGTGTCTATGCTTTCCAAGCACCGCGCTAAAAGCTTCCAATTTCTCAGATAAAGTATTGCCATATGTTCGTGTAGTCTCCCTTCCTCTTGAAGCATCACCATTTTCTGATTCAAAGGTCCCCTGGAAGGGATTGTTCGTTAAACTAAGGGATCAAGCCCGGCAAGGATTGTTTCTCTTCCTTCAAGTATTTGATTTGACATTGAATCACATAGCGGCTGCACATAGTCACATACTCACCGGGGGTTTTAGAAGCCAACAAGCGAAATCGACGCCTTCTCGGTGATTGTAAAAATGAGACAACTTCATAATCAGACGGCGCTTTTGTTTGTTGATCTTAGTGCCAATATCTTTCCTTAGACTGATATTCATTCATTTAACTTTGGTCGAAGAATTTGAGGAACGCACACGCTTGTGTCCTAACTTCCTCCCTGAGATCTATTTGCCTCCCCATTCCAGTTCCCCTCCACCTTGATTGTATTGTGTGATAGTGTATTTCTAGAGAAGGCAGGAGGAGAGAGAGTGCTGATATTTTATATGACTACTGATAAATTAATTGAAAGAAAGACTTATCTTTCTTGAAAACTCCCCTTCTTTTATCTTTTCTTCATAAATCCATAATATTTTTTTATTTGAATTTTTTTGTTCCTTCTCTTGATTGGAAATCCAGAATAGAGGAATTTTTTATAATAACACTTAATATTGGCAACCCGCTATACAAGTTTAGTTTACAAATTATATTGTGTAAGGGGCTTTATATTTCTTATTGTATGTCTTCTTTTGAACTTATGGTTACAAATGTTCTTTTATCATCTAACGGTTGATATGCTTGACCGAATGGTTCAGTCGACTGGACTGTACTCACTCCCATATAACTAATAGAGAAACCGGATAAGGTGTCATCTATGACAAAATCCAATTTGTCATTTTCTCATTAATTCTCAAAAAACTTTACGTAATTCTTAAACAAGTCCTCTAATCTATATCTATAGTATTATACTAAGAGAAAAACCAGAGAGAGAAAACAAAAAAGAATTCTAAAGGTGCCACATAGGATAAAATCCTATATGTCATTTTTCTAATGGTTGAGTCAAAAAATATTTACAACAATTATACTAATAGTCCTTCAAATTTTATGTAAATAAAGTTTTATCAAATGGCATTTAAAACTATAGTTTAAAATAGGAAAATAAAAATTAATTAAATTTAATGGACGGGATTGATGAACATTAATGCACCAAAATTATTCCCTCTAAAAAATAATCCCTCCCAAAAATAATCCTCAATTAGTATCAATTGATTGATTTAAATTATAAGTTCAAAAGGATAAGGCATTTATTATTTTCAACATTAATTCACCGGGATTTTTTACCCCAGCCAATTCGAATAAAAAAAAATCCCTCTACAAAATAATCCCTAAAATCACTACTTGATTGATTTAAAACCTAAGTTCAACGTGCGGGAAAGTGGGAATTCTTTAGTGATTAAAAACTAATCAAATTTAATTGAAAAAGACTAATCAACATTAATGCAATGGAAGTCATTTTCCACCAATCTTATCCCTTAATCAACGTGACGTTATCATCTTTATTCTATAGTTATGAATTTTACTTTAGTTACTGGCTATGATATCTCATTCAGACATTCACTATAAATATCCACTTCGGTCTAACTCTAACATGTACAATGACAACCGATGAAACACTGAAGCGAAGCATCTTATATACTTTACAAAACATCTTTGCGGCGACGACCTCACTCCAATCATGTTTTATTTAACATGTAAGGTGTCTCTTTCTCCAATTGTTTGCAATCTTGATTAATATGCGTTTTTAACCGTATAGACATAAATTGCTTTGATTTATATGACATGTAACATCTGATTTATTATTTTGGTGGTCTTTTTTACTTTTATTTGTATATAATCTTTATACATATTTCATTATTTAATTACATTTTTGGCATACAATTTATAAAATGTTGTCATTTCAAAGTACATATAACAATTTTATTTATCACGATCTAATTTAATTTTAATCATATATTTATTATTACAAACCAGTTACTTTATTTGTATTAATCACATTTAAAATTTAAAAATATATTTTAATAGATGTATATGTATAAATCCCGCACATCGTGCGGGTTTAATATCTAGTACTATACTAAGGCAAAAACCAGAGAGAGAAAACTAAAGGCATGGAGCACATGCCACATAGGATTAAATTCTATGTGGCATTTTCTTAATTTCTTAGACTTAAAAATGCACAAAACAAAATAATAAAACCAAAAAAAAAAATAACTAAAATAATTATAAAAAAAACAAAATAATAAAAACAGAACCCTTATTTTTATGAACCAAATCCTAACACAGAGATTGATTGGAGAGAGTATCAAATCCTAATAAATTTTAGAGAGATCTGCATAAACCTTATCACCAGTGAATTTAAAATGTCATTTAAAAAAAATAAATTCCTGTAAACCAGAGGTAATCATGTTTAAAACTGAAGTCATTACATATTTTATAAAAATACAAAATTTATGTGAAAATGTCTAAATGTGTATGCCTTCCCCGTCCATCGAACGGGTCTAACATCTAGTTTTATAAGGAAGAGAAATTTGCTCTAATTATAATTGAAGAAAAACTTTAAAAAAAAAAAACAAATCTTTAATATTTGCCTCCATTTAACTTATAAATCCCATAACAAATTCTCTAATTGTTCTTTATCTTTATCCAATGCGGATTACATTATGTGCATGACAATTCTTGATTGGATTGTTCTATTATTTTTTTTTTTATCTAATCACGCGCAAACTATAATTTAGTATCGTGGTATAGATAAACACATTTTTTTCCATGTATAATGTTATGACATTTTCATTTATTATTTTACAAATTGAAATATATACGCTTGTAATATATACTATTTGATATATTTTATCAGTTTTTTTATAAAAATGTTATAATTCTCCCACACATCATGGGGTATAACATCTAATATAATATATATATGCTCATATTATAAATTTTTTTTTTATTATACTTACATAAAGCAGAATACACAAAGTACACACGTTGCTCTTCCGAATTGCAGAAAAAACAGTCTCTAGAAAAAAGTAGAAATCCAAGGCACTTATGTACCGCGACCCAATTTCAACAACAAGAAAAGTAAATTTAGCGAAATCCCTAATTTCTTGCAATTTCATTGCTCAAAATCAATACGGACTAATCTTAAAAGTAACTCCTATCAATCAAAATCCATATCTCAATTTGAAACAGAGAGGATCATATCAATTCCGCAATCTGCTCCATGTCTGGGGTTTGTTCAGTTGGTATCCAGAAAAATAAAAGATTAATAACGATACACACTACAACAAATAAGGGATATTAATACATTTATCGTGGGACTTTTTTAAAAAAATGTGTCTCATTATATATGTATTACACATTGGTAAAAAAGTGTCCTCTTGAAAAATAAAAAAAGTGTGTTCATATTATAAAAACACTATCATAAGTGTACTATTTAGGTTGTTGGTGAACTATTAACTTACTTAATGGGTCACCTTAAAGTGTCTTATTATATAACGATTTAATAATAGAATTTTAAATGCCTTATAACTTATTGTAACTTGATTACAATAGACCATATTTAGTAGTGTCTCGCTCAATTTAAGTCACATGTATCCTACTACACCACTTATGGAGGCACAAAAAAATGTCTCAACTGTTTTTTTTTTTTTTTTGTAATAGTAGAAATCCATTCGATCGCAATAACCAAGGGCACAAAAAAAAAAGAGAAAAAAAAAAAGAGAATTGAGGAAGATGACCTGAGCTCCAAGGAAAGACCCGTGGCGAAGAGAGGCCATCCTTTTGGTAGCGAAAAGTTAACCATTCATCGATTCAGGACGAAGACAACAATATAATAACAAATAGCCGCAAAACAGATCCAGTCATAGCAACAAAATCCAACCATATTGTCTGCGCTGGGTAAATCTTGCTTCGATTCGGTTCGTTGACAACAACCCTCAAAGTAGATTCGGCCGATGACAGCAATTCAAGATTTAACAAGAAGAATCGGAAAAACGATACACTTTCAACTGTATATTGGTTCTTTAGAACTTTAGATGGTATGTTCATGCTATCTAACTGGTGAAGAATCATTTTTAAGAAAATAAAATCAAATTGTTATAATTGTTGATGCAGCCGGCGGTGCGTGTCTGAAAAGGCCTCCATTGTTCTTTCCCCCATTGTGGACACGTGGTTCTGCGTTCTTCTTGAAAGAAGTGAAGGGGGCTGCTCAACTGTTGAGATCCAGATGCAAGCCAATTCGACTGCCGCTTTGGAGTAGATTCCCCTTTGGGCTAAATCTTCTCTTACTAAAGCTGCAATCTATTCTTCTAATTTCTCATCTCAATTGCGGCTCCTTTCGATTTGATCTGAGGGAGAGAAGTTTTGAGTATCCTTTTTCAATTCAAAAATAGTAAGCCACGCACACTGCAAGACTAGCAAACGGTGACTTACTACAACTGAGATAATTCCTTATGGATTGGATTTATTTCATTTTTTATTATACGGTTTCTGTTAATTTAATCCTAATCTTTGTGTGATGGCATAGATGAAAACTTCAAGTAGTTGTTTTGTGAAGTGATATATACTTATGGTTACAAACAATTCATGTGTTTCTTATTGTCCAGCTTTGTGACTTTATTATGTTGCAGTTATTCTTTACCATTCTGTGTTTCAATAGAGATTTTTTCAGAATGGATATTTTGAATCTGTTTTAAAAATTAGAAGTGAACAATGTTTAATCCATTTGACAGATTGATGCTTTTTCTACAATGATCAATGATCATCATATTCACTTGATTATATGACATCCTATTTTCCAAAGGGTAACATTTCCCTCTCCGATGATGTTATTTGTGGTCATTGAGTCGCTTTAACTTTCTGCTTCAAATACGATAACATGCAATGTCTGCACAGGTGTTGAATTTATGGTATCACATGTTTATCAAGGAAAGTAGTGTGCAGTGAAACATGCTTGTTATTCACAGGAAATCTTGGAAATCATGTGTAACGATGTCTTTGGCATTGATCAATAACAATCCACATCCTAGGGAGACTTTCTGGTGAGCGCTTCAGTCTCTTGGTTTTCCGTAGATTCTAAATTTCTTAACTAAAATGTAGATAGGCCACTTTAATTGTTTTGCCCATGAATATCTTCATCTTGCAGTATTACGAGAACTTTTAGAGCAAAAGAAGATCATTTGGCATTCAAGTTTTCATTTGGTGAGCTGTTCAAAGACAAAATACTAAATGGAACAGGCTTGCACATTGAATTTCAAAGCAGATTGGAGACTTCAAAGAGCATGGAGGCAGATGATAAAGAATTGGCAAAACCTCCCTCTTAACATGCCAACCTAATGTGCCTAATGCTTCAGAACCATTATAATATGATCAAGAAAATGGGCGACTTTTTGGGTGTACAGTAGAGACATATTTTTAGGTAATATTATATGGTAATTAATTACTTTATCTCCCATGCAGAACCATAATTATGCAATGTATTGAACAAATGATGCATCATAAGCATGTTGTGCTATGCCAAGAATCTGAAACATGCGAATCAAGGTTCACTTTTCATATTCTAAATCTTTCAAATACCAAAGTAATTAGTGTCAGTCTTATTCTCCGTATACTCTTACACAATGGAAATTGACTCTCTGGTTTTATTGTGAGTTGGAGGGAGTCTTGCTCTGATTTATCCGACATGTACAACCATACTCAATTCATTTTGTTTTTGTTCTTCATATTTCAGGATATGCATCAAACTAACTATCTATTGCTGATGTTTTGGTTAAAAAATTACACCATCTTGCGGGTGATATGGATTGTATAATTGATTTAGCATGACTTGGTCATATTCTTTCTGAGGCCTTGACCACCCCTCACTCCTTCCTGGCCATATTTGCCCGCCCTGTTGCTGTGGTAATTGTTAAAAATAACTTTAGGTTTCTAAGAGGTCATTTTAATTTTGTAGTTCAAAAGATGGGGGTATGTGGACTTGCATGAGATGGCAAGAGAAAATATTCTATCTTCAATTATGGATTTACACTTCCAAGTCACCCAACTTGTAATATGCTTTGAAGTTGGAATGCAGCTGATGCTTCTACATTCCTGATCCGTGAAAGTGCATAGAGGACCGCAAAAAGGTAACTTTTTCAAGGGATCATGAAAATGTTGAATTGCTGCTCTCTTATTCCTGCTTATTTTGCCAAATGTGAACCACAAGTTAATTGATCGCCTTAAACTCTTCTTCATTTTGCTCATCTTGCCAGATTAAAGCAAATGGCACATTAATGCAAATGGTGACTGCAGATTGGCTAGGATTTGACAAGCGAGAAGATGATCTTGCTAGCCGCCCAGCAGTGGCGGAGCTAGAGGGGACGGAGGGGCGCGGTCGCACCTGCTCAATTTTTTGTACTTAATACGGATATTCTAAATTTTCAATAAAAACTATATGTTGAATAATTTTTTGTACCCCCTACATTAATTTCCTAACGTTATTAGTAGTTTTCTCTAAATTTTACACCTCCAATATTGATTTCCTGGCTCCGCCACTGTCGACCAGGAAGCATTACTACTAGAAAAAGGCCCATTTAGTCATCTTGTTCAATGTTTTTCGACAAAGCATATTAGTAAAAGTTTCTATATCATCACTTACTAACTATTTCAAAGTTTCTGTCAATCATCCTGATGAGAATTTCTATCAATACAGTGTATGCTTACCCTCCTGGCTTTGATAACTAAAATAGTGACAGCCGGATGCATCGTGGTGGCAGTAAATCAACCTCATTTGGAGGATTAATAGCGTAATAAAATCACATATCATGGGAATAGTATAAATGAGCAAGAACTTGAAATGGCTATAGTCCCTTTGAACTCATGTTTTAGAATTGTCGATGTGGACCTCCTTATGGGAAGAATAGAACCGAAAGACAAAAAAAATTAAAATGAAGTTTTTTTTGACACTTTTATATGCATTTAGTACATCCATAGGACTAAATAAAGCATACTCTTGTTCTGGTTTTGACACTTTTTAGATAATCTCTTGTTCTGGTATTGATTAAATGCTTTCTACAAGATCCCAGAATCCCACAGCAACTACTCTGAGTACCAAGATTACCATCATTATGAACATATAGCATAGTTTCCTTAATAGAATCAGGAAGGATGTAAGATGATGATAGAGCCAGATTCGGTCCAAACCACGACAAACGTAACCAGATTTTCTAAGACATGGACTGAAATTCTTCTTCAGCAAGATCAAACCATATATAGTTTGCATTGGAGCTTGAGTAAGGATTGGTCCAGTAAAGAACTCCATTTTTGCACAAACCAGAAATGGTTAACATGCAACTAACAGGATCAATGATTCGCCACGATGAATCAACACCTACAGCTAAACATAAAAATTCTCACTTTACGAAGCAAAACATCCGTCCCCTCCATCTCCCCTTTATACAACTCCTTTGGGTCATGGCCTGTTCTAAGTAACTTGTAGGTTTGGTTGGAGGGATTTAAACCATGGTGATAAATCCCCAAGAAAGATGATGTATTGAGACAGAAAGGCGCCTACTCTCTCTGGTAGCAATAGTGTACAATCAGAAAGTGGTCATTCACGGCTGCCATGGATCTCCTTTTTCCTCTAGTGTGCATAGTTTGGTGATGAAACATATATTCTTTGGTACATCATCACCCACCGGAACATTCAAGCAGAAAAATCAATGTGGACATCATTAGAGCAAATTGAAAGGGAGTGATGTTCTCGAGCAGGATCTCTTTGATACTGGCCTGACACTCCCAGGCAAGTTCAGAATTAAAGATAGGAAAAGTTTGCAGATGCACAAGAATTTCATCAGGAATTTGACAGGGAGCCACACCAAAGACTTCCAAAATAATTCCTCAGGTATTACTCAAGAATTACCATCCATGGAGTTCGCCTTTTACCATAATAGTTAAAACTAATAAGTGAGGAATTTGACAGGGAAGAACAGGGCAAAGAAGCATTTTGGCTCTTATTCACTCAAACCCACAAATTTGATAGGGTTTGGTCTTCAGAATGTTCCTAAACATACGGGTCTGGGCCAACTGCCATTCCATAGAAGTGAAACAAGGCGACCTGGATGGAATGGAAGAAAAAGAAACAAATCTGAATCCATAAACCAAGAAAGCCCAAAGGACAGTTGAAAAAGAAGCTGCCTTATGGTATTCCCTGCATCCCAAAGAAAGAGTCTTTTGGTTCGACAATCATGACTATTTTTCTGGGACGGGGTGAACATTTCAATAAATAAATCAGACAGTAACTCTTTAGTTCAAACATGAACCGATAAAATCATGAAACGAAATCTAAGCCAAGATATTTGGGAACAGGATCCAGGCACAGCCAATGCATCCAAAAAAAGGTAGGGAAATAATGCAATCACATGAAAAGTCTAACCCAAAAGGCTGGAACACGCTCGCAATAATAGTTTGGAACTAAGTAAACATCTGCTCTATCTTTACATGTTTCATCATTCATTGGCAGAGTGGATTGCAATTTGAAAGCCCAAAGCGAGGGGTATTCCCCCAAAAAAAAAGAAAAAAAGACGACGAAAAGAAAGTACCTGATTAAGCCTCCCTCAAAAACGGTACACAGTTCAAATGGTAGCCTTTGATGGATTCTACAACTTTGACAGAGAAGGTTTCATCTTCTGGGTAGTAAGCAATTGGATCAGCTAATAATGACACTGGTACTTTCAGCACCCCTTCAAGAAGAGCGTGTAGACAATAAGCTGAATAGGTGACATGATATCCACCTTCTTGCACAATTAGGAGGCGTCCACCGGTATGCTTATTAGCCAAGCCACGAGCAGTTTGTCCAATATTTCTGTAACCATCCATTGTCAGACACTGCCTTCCGTTTGGATCAAACTGAAATTTTAAGCAGCCAAATTATGAGAAATGATTACCTATAGAATAATAAAACTTTAGCATCACACACCCGTTAGTCAGATAACTTTCCTTACACCTTTTTAACCTTGTTATTCAGTGTCGAAGCATATTATGAAAGAAAAACAAGTGTCAAATTAGTTCCGGCAGATTTAGAGTTTGAGCATGAAGAAAGAAATTACAGATAGACAACACACTGCGGAAAATGCTTATTAGTGCAGACTTAATGCTTTACTTTAGTTGAATTAACTAATACATGGCTTTTCAGTTTCCTTTTCTATGTCATAATTTATGTCAGTTATCACCAGCCTCGTTCACCTCTGTTAAGAGATCAAGTGTCAACCCTGTGACTTGTCTAATGGTATCCTTGAACAATGCACGGAAGAATTGAAACCTTTTTCAGATATATCATGTTGATGGATATGGTGCAAGCCCAATGCATAATGTAAAACAGTTATCACAATATGTGATCTAACATCAAGTCTGTGTACCTTGAAACAAATTCCTTGCATAGTACAAAGTTCAGAAGTTTTTGGAATAGTCACCAAATTACCCAGTAGAAGTGCAATAACATAATTACGAATTGAAAGGAAAAAGATAAACTTACTGCACTTGAATCTTGGCCAACAACCAACACCATCATATCAGGTTCAAACTTCTTGATAGCAGGAGCAACTAAGTTTCTCATAGCATAATCATATCCTTTGTCTCCAGTTCCATTTGGCAGAGGTACATTGAGATTATAGCCAAAACCTTTTTCTTTACCAAGCTCATCAACAGTTCCATTCTGAGGATGAGAGGGGCCCCAAGAACCATGATTCATATGAAGAGATATAGTAAGAACTTTGTCAGAACCATAAAATCCTTCAGCTGTTCCATTTCCATAATGAACATCTATGTCAATAACAGCAACCTTTTTATAGCCAGAACTCAGAGCTAAATGTACAGCAAGACCAGCATTATTCAGAAAGCAGTACCCATCGGCTTGATTAGGCTGAGCATGATGACCTGGAGGCCTTACCAGAGCATAAGAAAGGTTTCCATGACCATCGATTATATATTTCATTGCTGATAAGGTTGTGCCAGCTGCAAGAAGAGCAGAATCCCAAGATCCAGGATTCAAGAATGTCCCAGCACAGATCGGTTTCCCCCCTTTTCTATCAGCTTCAACAAGCTCATTTATGTATTCTGAGGAATTACACATAAAAATACTTAGAGGATTCAATAATTTGGAGTCCTAATTGGCATTATCATTTTAATCCAAATACTGTCGGGATACGTCATCTGTACAATTTGCTTTCAATAACAATGTGAAAAAGATAAGCTGAAGAAAGCAAGTGGATGCACTTATATAAGAAAGCTTTGTTGCACTTATATACTGAAGCTTTCTTTTAAAGACTAATACTTCGGTAACCCTTCCCCTGTTAAGTCAAAATTATATCATCTGCAGCTAACTGAATCAAATGTAATTACGCAAGTAACAAGCACAGAGTTGAACTTTTGCTGTTTGTACTGCATAGTTGAAGAATCAAACCACTTCTGATCAATATGTTATGGGATCATAAATCATCCAAGGTTGAGGACATATCTTCAAAAGGAAGCCAAGCTTTCCAGGATAACATTAGTTTAGTTGCTCAGATTCCAACAGGGAACCTAACATGTCATATCCAGAGCTCTCCTAACACTGAACAACCAACCCTATTATCAGTAGGCTTTTTGTCGAACGTCAATAGGGCCTATTAGGCAAAGTGGTGGAAATTTTTCTTCAACATTAGCACAAAAACTAAGTTAATATGTTGCAGTAATTCGACAATCATCGGATAAAATTTATTTTTTTTCTTTTAACCTCTACGCAGTCCAATCCATAGATGACCATTTTCAGATGTGAGCTTATTGTGAGCATTACTAAAGTCAGATGATGCTTTCTTAACCTCCAACCACAACTAAAGTATTTCTCAAAACAGCAACGCAGCAGAATTTACCAATCAACAACTAATAAATCAAGAAAGAACGAGGATACCCTGAATTAATAAACGAAAAAGGAGCATGGAATTGCAGAAAGAGTTCAATATTAGGTACCTTGAGTGTGGAAAGACAACAACTCAGGGATGAGGGCAGGCCTGCCAGTATGCCAAGAAATCATGGGTGAAATAGGACCCCTTTTGAGAATAGAAACCATATTCCTAATTCTATCAGAGTTCTCCGGGTGTTTCTCCAAAACATCAAGAAATCCAGGGTCCATTCCTGAATCAAATACGCCATTTCCAGTGTAATGTTTCAGCATGCCCTCGTGCCAGAACACATGGATGACTTCAGTTGAAGTAGAAGAAGAAGATGGAGGATGAAGATTCCTCAGTTCTGCAGCAGCTTCCATTTAGCTAACAAAACTTGTATTCTTCGATGTTGATTTTTAGAGAATCAAATCAGTATTAGCAGGGAATTGGTAACTAGTCTGCGAATACCAACTATACCAGTGAGATCGATCACTTGCAGGTTGCAGCAAACTCTGGTCCTAAAACTGTTTAGGAGTAACATCAGTTGGGCCATAATTCGAGGAAGCCCTTTGACTCGATGAGGCCCAGCTCATCAAAATAAAATTATTGTATATTAAAATTTATTTAATTTTCAAACCTTTTCCTCTAACAAATTTCATTGTGTTAAGACTTAGGACTTAGCACTTACCACTTCAGGTAGGTGAAAGATTTTTCAGCCAAAACTAATCACGAACATGGAGTAATTTTTGATACTTTGTCTAATTATTTCACCGTCAAAGTGCTTTCTACTTTGCTACTTTGCGAGTGATATCAGTCGTCGTTCGTTGATACCTTGTAAAGATGAAAAGAAAAAAAAAAAGTTTATTTAATCTGATTGTAAGAGCTCATTTGGCATTGTTTTTCTCTAGCATAAGGATAAAGATGATTGCACAATTTTCTGGCCTTGGAGAAAAATCAAAACTTGAAACTGATAAATGATATTACTTATGTCTTAATAAAATAATTCACATTGAGTTTTGATATTTGTACTAGTACAAATTTGAAAACTCAATGTGGACTAATTTTCTGGAATAAACGAAGTATAGTTTTTTGGTCATGGTATCACTAATTCCTTTGTTTCTCATAACCTTCGTTTTACATCTATTTCCTCTGTTGTTGTAGGTTGTGTGAACCACAATGAATTTGAAACTCTTCAAAAATTTCAGGCTATTAGTTTAACAACTTGAAGAGAAGATTTACTTCATGGATCCAAAAAAGAGACAGTACAATAATTAGGACAATCATTTTCTGACAGACGGAGTAATTAAATGAATAGGATGTCACGTTGTTTCAATTTGTGTCATAATATCTGTAACTTAGTTACTAGTTCTCGAAAATGTAGAATTAATTAATTAATCTTCTTGGATGTCTTTTGAATTTTCGGTATAATTCCGAACTAGTTTGAAGATTCATGAATTTTACGCATTGCTCGATCGAGGATTGTTTCCATCATTGCCGCCGTTGTTTTTCCTAAATTGTATTTGGGATCATACGGCTCCGAAACCTGTTCTTTTTCCTAATGGAACTTTCTGGTGAGGTTTCCTTCTATTTCTGCTGACAGATTCTCCTTGTGATCGCAACAAACTAAAACGTGTTCCCTTCTCTTTTCTAATCCAACCAGTTTACTTTTCGTTAACTATCAATTTCTTTTGTTGAATCTAAAATGGACGCGGCTTCTGCAACTGGGATATATTCTTATTTTACGATAATTCACCAGCCACTGAGCAGTCTTTCTATTTTATTATGTACTGTAGCATATTCTAAGTTTACCAAGACTCCCAAATCTATTTCTTGAACTGATTTTTGCTTTTTTTTTTCTTCCATTAAAAAAATAAAAAAAATAAAAAAGAAATCAACTGTTTGTTCTTACATTCAGTCGCTCAATGTGATGTGACTAATTAACTTCAATCGTTAGATAAACTTCCATGACATCAGCATGCTGAGTTGATGCTAAGACAAATTGTAGTATTTTATATGCTACAGTAACCCATGGTTCTTATCAATAGACATTAAGGTAGTTGACTTCTGATCAATACACATTCTTCCTCTTCCAAGGTTTTCATTCTTTTCTCATTTTGCAAAACCATGGACAAAACACTATACGATGCAGTAGTCGCAGGTGACACTGCAACCTTTTGCGAGTTAATGAAAGAAGATCCAGATCTTATTGATAAGTCATTCTTGAATAGTGAAGATATGAATGTTCTTCACATTAGTGCAATGTTTGGTCATGACGAATTTGTGAAAGCCATTCTGCGAACTTATTCCTCTTCCACATATCGTATGTGTTTGGCTCGGGAAAGACATGGCAAAAACCCTATACACGCGGCAGCGATCCATGGTAGATTCAACATTTTGGCTTTGATAAACCGTCATGATCCGCTAATGCAAGCAGCTTTAGAGAAGGTGGACGCCGTAGGGACTATTTTACATTTGTGCGTGAAATATAAGTAGTTGGAGGCTTTGATGCTACTCTTGTGGATTTTTACTGATCCAAAATTCGTAGGAGCCAAAAATGATTGTGGTATGACCATACTGCATTTGGCTTTCGAGTATCACCAAAATCAGGTACCCCTATATGCTTACATATATTTCCTCTGTCCCAAAATTGTTATTTAGTTTAGATTTTCAATTTATACTAAAAATGAAAATTCAAATTGGACAATAATTTTGGGACGGAGGGAATATATCGCAGCCATTTACCGCTTTCAGCTTTCTTATATAGTTCATATATAACTTCAAGTAACAAAACGTAAAATCCAAAGGTAATAGTATAGATTGATATAAAACTATTGTTTTAGTCAACTACTTTCGTTCCATATGCATAGTAGTGACCCAATTTTATGTATATGTATTCCAACATGTTACTCTTTTTGTCTCAAAATAAAAAAATTCTGATAAAAACCCCATATAATATCATTGATGTTAGTCAAATTTTGCAGCAAATAATGTGTTTGTTATTTTTGGAGTATATGACGTTTAGATAGTGACAAAACTGTATTTGGAACATTTTTCACATTGTACAATGTTTGCAAAATGTATGCAGAGGAGGGAAGAAATGATTGTTCACTTGATAAGAAAAGTAGCAAACATCATCAACATACAGAACGCAAAGGGGGAAACTGCCGTTGATATTTACCTGTGGCAATCCAAAATTTGTGGAAAAGAATAAAGACGCAATAATAGTTGTGGCATCGCTTATAGCGACCATGGCATTTCAATCTATGGAAAGCCATCCTGGCGGTTTCTGGCAAGACGACGATTTCTCGCAAGGACCTAATAATAACAATCCGGCACACTAAGCTGGAGAAAGCGTGATGGCGCATACTCATCCGAAACGCTACAGGCAATTGGTTGTGTCCAACACAATAGCTTTTGTGTCTCCAATGACAACAACCTTAATATTGTTGCTTCGTAGACAGGCTCTTACCAGCTTTTGTCGTCACTCGGCTCTAACGTTCCTGATTTTGGTAGGTTTTATATTGTTGTTAGTGACAGCGATATATGTTGCTTATGCGATATCATTCACGATGACCACACCTTCGTTGGGAGGGCATCGGAGTAGTAGTACTAGTCCAGGATGTGAGATTGCCATTGTTGTCATCATGGTGTGGTGTTTCCCAGTCATCGCTAACCTCTTGGATCATCCACATTTCTTATGCTTCCTCGGAAGTAATTTCCTTAATGTGATACCTAATGCACTGGAGAAATGGTTGCAAGTGGTTCTCCGTTAGATAATTTACATTAAATGTCAATAATTCACAAGAATGTGGTGGTGGGTTTTGTTTGAAAATTATAGTGTGTAAAATGAATTGAGAAAGAAGTTTTCTATGTCAATTTTATAAGAATATAAATGACTGGTGTACTCCCTCCTTTGCAAAGTTTGGATTTTCAATGTTAGTACAACAGGACATTAATTATTTTAAGCGGGAGGAGTAACTCCTTTGGATTCCACGTGATCAGGTCCTTGGAGCACCCAATTGTTTCATACTAGCCGAATTAGAGTGAAAAACTTTCAGTGTGAACATACTAAGCTAAAGAAGCAAATTCTGCCCCAAGTTTAGAAACTAGAGTGTAAACCTATGTTGATGCTCAATTTGTGGTAGCAATTTGAGTTAATAGCTAGAAGTACTCTGAGGATTTGTGTTTCTGCGGATTTGTGTTTCTCTTTCATCAACTAACTCTGCAAAGATGCACGGAGGGTGAAGTCTAAAATATGGTAATCACCATGAATGCGGAAGCAAGGTATATAGGGTTTCAGGTGAACAGAAAGGGGAAAAACTTCCCGATCATCGATTTTTATCAATCAACTTTCTTACAACTAACTTACAGTTTGGTATTTATACTAGAATGTACAACTAACTAAACGATATCCAACATTTATAAATATACCCATGAACTACTATTTACAAGCTATGATTTAATAAGGACTAAATTGGAAGTCTAATCAACTAAGTCATCTAACACTACTGTATCTATACACAATGTATATGTACAATCATCATGCTCTATACAATCACCAGAATTATGTATTACTGCTGCAACATCTTTACTTCTGTAATTCTTCATGCCCCCCTCAAGCTTGGCATTGTGGAGGTCACAAAGTCTAACCTTGGACAACAAAATGTGGAAGTGTGCAGCAGGTAAAGTCTTGGTGAACAAATCAACAGGTTGATCACAAGAAGGCAGGTAATAAGGATCTATGAAGCCTGCCTTATACTGATTATACACTATATGATAGTCAATTTTCAAGTGTTTCCTAAGCTCATGAAACACTGAATTGCTGTAATGTACAGAGCAGATTTATTATCACAAGCAAAAAGGTATAGGGGTTGGTTGTAATGAACCCTGTTTTAAACCATACAGGGATCTCTTAAGCTTGCAAACTTGCGTTGGGAGAGCCTTCAAATACCCAAGTGGAGGTCTCATTGATAGGTCTTGAAGTTTCATATTATTTATAGGTATTTGTATGGTATTTTGGATTAGATTGTGCACTTATATTATGTATTTTGATGTTTTTGGTTCCTAGGAGTCCTTAGAGATGAGATGGAGCAAAATGTTTCATAAACACACATTTTTGGAGCATTTTGACAAGGAAGCACAAGAAGGAGCAATGACATCACATTCTCGTGTGGGCACACGAATCTCAGTTCAAAATTGAGCTATAGAGAAGAAATTCCAGCATTGAAGCTGCATTCCTGTTTGGCCAAACCGAAACAGGGACTAAAATGAAAAATTGAAAAAGTTTTGGGGTCAAAATGTAATTTTGCCAAATTTGAGGGAACAATATGCAAATCTCGGAAAAGTTAATTTGCTGCTGCGGATTTCTGAGAAGGCTGCTGCGGCTGACCTATATTCTGTATATAAATAGACTTTTCTTTTCATTTTGAAAGAGTAGTAGGTAGTAGAATAAAAATAGACGTAGTTTTTCACTTTTAAGGAGCTTTAAAAGGCACTTT